GGAGGTAGTACTAATAATAAAGATTTTTATTTGTATGTCTAAAAAGCTTAATTCTCCTGACCTTAAAAATAAATAAATAAATAGCTTATTGGGAATTTCATATGTTAGGACGATAGGGCCATGCCTTTGCAAGATTTTTTTTCCATGTTATTCTACATATAGTATTATCTATGAGTTGCTACCGATAATCTTACAAAATTAATGATTTATTTGTAAAAGTCTTGGTTAGTGGGGCATAATATATATACTAATCTTTTCGTTCTAATTTATGAGATAATTTATTTTTTAATTCATTCAACAAAGTTTAATTATAAAATAGATATATTAATTAAAAAGTAAATTATCTCTTATAAATAGAATCAAAGAAAATATTATAAAAATTTATATAAAAAAATATTCAATATAAAAATAATAAATTATTGTATAAAAAAATATTATTATTTTATATCAAAAAAGAATAAAAAAGATATTTAAATATATAAAAATAAAATCTACATACCATTGAAACTATTGAACTTTTTAAATATGTAACAAAACAACCATTTTTTAAAGAGAAATGTTATTCTTACACCAACATATACACTACATAGTATTTTACCGTCTATCAATACGGTGAACAGTAAAATATTATAATAATAAAATATTTTTTTCAAAAAAATATAAAAATTAATTTTCTTTTATATCTGAACATTTATTAATTAATTTTATAACTTTATAACCAATTTTTTACATTGCATTAACCAACTTTATTTTACTGTTAAAAATTATTTTTATATCTGAACGTTTATTAACCAATTTCACAACTTTATTAACCAACATTTTACATTGTATTAATCAACTTTGTTTTATAGTAAAAATTATTTTTAATATCTGGACCTTTGTTAACCAACTTCATCACTATATTAACTAATTTTTTACATTTCATTAACCAACTTTGATTTACTATTAAGAAGTACTGCTTATGGACTGTTCACGGGTACTGTTCATACATATGACACTGTTCATGTACGATTTTACTGTTCACGACACTGTTCATTGTATTTGTGAACAATGTATACGGTGTAGGTGTAACAAAGGGTGTAAAGATAGCATTGCTGTTTTTTAAACTTTGTCACCACTCTATTAGTCTATAAATAACTACGATAATAAAGGTTTTTATTTGTATATGTATTGTTTAAATAATGTTATAATGTTCACTGACATTTTAACAAAAAGGAATTTTATCAATACAAGTGAGAACAACTAAAAACATTGAATTATCCTTCAACATCATCCTTTAATTCAGATTCAGGAAATCAAAACTAACAATATCAATTTTATCCCTCAAGTGAAGAAATTGATCCGTCTTGATCGTTTTTGTCAGAACGTTTGCCAGTTGCTTTTGGGTGTTATAGTGCATAACTTCTAGCACTCTATTCTGAACCTAGTTTCTTAGAAAATGATACTTAGTCTTAATATACTTGCTTATCCCATGCAGCATTGGGTTCTTGACAAAATTGATTGCAAACTTGTTATCAATCATCAACTTCAGATGCTTGTTTACCTTGATTTTTAAATCCTGCAGTAAATTCAAAAGTCAAACAGCTTAACATGCATCCACAACACCTACAATGTATTCAGCTTCACAGATTGACAAAGCAACAAATGGGTGCTTCTTGGAACATCAAGAAATAGGACCTCACAAATACTTGAACAAATATCCAGAAGTACTTCTTCTGTCAACTCTGTCTCCACACCAATCACAGTCTGAGTAACACATCAGCTCTGATTGAACTTTTTTAGTAGAAGGGAACAAAGCTTCATACTTCAGAATCCCTTTAATATACCTTAGAATCCTGAAAACATCTTGGTAATGAGACCAATTTAGTTTAGTCATGAACCTCAGATTCACCTACAGAGTCAGACTCGCCTTCTAACTTTGACTCACCTTTAGATTCTCATTCAGCTTCAGAGTCATCTTAAAACTATGACTCATCTTCAGAGGTCGAGTCTCCTTCAGATTTAGAAATACCTTCAGAAGTTATATTTGCACCAGAGTTGGATTCAAACTTGTTCCAATTCCATGCTTCTGACTCTTTCATAATAACATCTATGCTAAATTCAACATTGTTAGTGACAGGACAGTAGAGCTTATAAGCACCTATATTGTGGTACCCTACAAGCAACATAACTTTGCTTCTGACATCCAACTTCCTTCTTTTAGCATCTGGAACATGTTTATAACAAACAGTACCAAACACCTTCAGATGACTCACACTTTGCTTATCTTCAGTCCACTTCTCTAATGGAACAATTTCCTTCAGCTTCTTGGTTGGACGCCTATTGAAAACATATATTGCAGTTGCAACAGCTTGTCCCCACAAAGTATGAGGGAGTTTATTCTCCTTTAGCATGTTCCTTATCATATCAAGCAAAATTTTGTTTCTTCTTTTTGCAAGACCATTGTGTCGAGGAGTGTATGGAGCAGTCACTTCATGCTTAATTCCATTCTCCTCACAGTACTTATTGAACTCTATAGAGTTATACTCACATTCACCATCAGTTTTGAGAATCTTCAGAGTCTGACCACTCTGTTTCTCAGCCTTGATTTTGAATTTCTTAAATTTAGCAAACACCTCATGTTTGAACTTTATAAGAGATACTTAAGTCATCCTTGTGAACTCATCCACAAATGACACAAAGTATTTATTCCCTCCAAGTGAAGGTACTGAAAATGGTCCAAACACATCAGAATGCACCACACCCAAAGCATGCTTTGATCTTTGAGGCATTTTAGATGCAAATGGAAGTCTTGGTTACTTGCCTATTTTGTACACATTGCATGACTTCTGTGGTTTCTTAATGGTATGAATTCCATATACCAAATTCTTTGAATTCAGATTCCCTAAGCTTCTAAGTTCAAATGACCAAATCTTTTGTACAACAACTCACTTTCCTTCACAACAATTGTTTCACTAAGGAATTCAGAGTCTGCAGTTTGAACATTCACTTTGAATGTTTTATTCCTTCCCTACTCTAACTTCATAATCTACTTCTGATTACAGTCATACAATTTCAAAAGATTACCCTTCATGAAAACTGAAAAGTCGTTTTCAATTAATTGACATGCACTAATTAGATTGCTTTTCATGCCAAGAACATACCACACATTCTGAATCAATTCAGTTTTACCATTATTCAGAACTACTCTGCCATTTTCATTCCTTCAGCATTCAGATACTTGTCATAAGCACATCTGATCTTAGTCCTCTTACCATAATCAAAATCAACCAACCATTTCTTATTTTCAGTAAGGTGATTTGAACAACCAATGTTCATGTACCACCAGTCTTCTAAAGACACACTATCAGACTCATAAGCCATCAATATCACAGGGTAATCATCAAAATCTCCTCTGGCTACATTTCCTTTTTTAACTTCTTTTTCTTGTTTGACTAGCAATCAACAGCGAAGTGGCCAAACTTTTAACAAAAGTAGCAGTGAACTGTCCTCTTGTCATACTTCTCCTTCCTCTTCTAAGCACTCTTATGCCTTTCAGAAGTTGAGGTTTTTGACTTCTGAACACTATCATATTTCTTCTTATCTTCTGACCAAGACTACTTATGATATTTTTTACCAGAAGTTGCTTTCAGAGCCTGCTACTCTACCTCTATTTCAAAATTTCTCTCAGTCAGACGCAACTCTTGTACCTCTAGACTGCTTTGCAGCTCTTCATTTCTCATGATTCTAAGGTTTTTAGAATGTTCAATTGCTACAACAATGTAATCAAACTAACGAGTAAGAAATCTAAATACCTTATCAATGATCTTTTCTTCAGAGAGAGTTTCCCCACACGATTTCATCTTATTTGTGATCATAATCACTCTAGAGATATAGTCAGATACCTTTTCATTGTTTTTCATGTTGAGGTTCTCATATTGCGTACGTAGAGACTAAATATTTACCTTTTTCACTGATCCATCACTGCCGTAACACCACACTAATGTATCCCACACAACATTTGCCATCGTTAAATCATCGATCTTCTCAAACACGTTCACATTCACACAATGATGGGTGTAGAACAACGCCTTTTTATCATTCTTCCTTAAATCACGATGAGCATTACTATGCGCATCTGTTGCATTTTCCGTAAGTGCAACCGAAACGTAACTGTCGTTGATGAGATCAAGAATATCTTGAGCGTCAAACAATACGCGCATCTAAATCATCCACTGATTCTAGTTCATGTCATCGAACACTAGAAGTTTAGTATTCAGATTACTGTTTTCGCTCATCTTCAACCTTGTGCAATTCACTCAAATCTTACTAAACACTAGTGTTTTCCAATCTCACAGAATCAAGAAATGTGAATTCAGCACAAATTCAAGATACAAAATCAATCACACTACGTCTCACCGTTCACTCGTGTTTTTCTTAAGATCTAAACCGAAACTCTATATATCAATTGTTGGTGCACAAGATGAAGAAGATGAAACAAGAGAGAATATAGATAATTGAATAACAAATTATGTTACTCTTGCAAAAACGGTTACAGTAAAAATAGTTACTTCTTTCTATTGAAAGTTACACTTATTTAAATACAAGTGGGAACAACTAAAAATACTGAATTTTCCATCGACAAATATATTATTGAGACCTACCAAAATTAGAGTGTTATGTAATTTTATTTAAATTATATTGAATGATCGTAGGACTTTTTTAGTATTAATGAAAATTATTATAAATAAATTTTTATATATAAAAACTATAAAATGTTTTCAAAATTTTAAAATCTTACAATATTTTTTTATTTTGAAAAATATTAAAAATATTTTCTTATTTATCTTTTGCCCTCCCGTCGAAGAAAATGTCCCAATTGGGTTGGTTCCTGCCTATAAATACCTAAAATGCATGAGCAATTCCTCATACACTTCCATGCTACTTTAATCATAAATCACTCCCACACTTCATCTAAACAAACCATCTTCTAATCCCTTTAATTCTATCTCATAATTATTATGGCCAAGGTAATTAATAACCCTCACCATAATCATTATAAGTGAATATCTACATGTACTTTCATGAAATGAATAATATATCTTTGGTTGTAAAATATTTTGCAGCAAAAGATAGTGATCAAAGTGACAATGAAGAACGAAAAATCCAGGATCCGTGCCATGAAGATTGCAGTTGGCGTTTACGGTAATACGTTAATTAATTCACTGATTTTCTCACCATTAATACATTTAATATAAAAAAATCAGTTAAAAACCATGGCTTAATTATCGAAAATGATCATGTGCAAAAAAATATTCAGGAGTGGAAAGTGCAGCTATACAAGGAGATAACAAGGATGAAATAGTGGTAACTGGAGTAGGGGTGGATCCAGTTAAACTCACAAGGCTGCTGAGAAAGAAATTTTGTATTGCAAATTTGACAAGTGTTGGTGATCTGAAAGAAGAAAAGAAGAAAGAAGAGACAAGTGTAGCATGGCCTAATTGTGTTCCTCATTATAATTGGCCTGTGTGTGAGATAAGGAATCAATATGAGGAGCCTTGTAATTGTTCCATCATGTGAATGTCACCAACAGGTTTCAAAAGAAGAAATCAATATACTATTGTTATTATTATTATAAAATCAAGAAAACATGCATAAAGCATATATGGACTCTTTCCCAGAGCTAGTTTGTTTAACAGCCAAATTCTTCTGTCTATATGTATAACATCGTGCATGGTTTATAAGATAAAATCATCATGATTCATGATAAAAACTTAGACATGTTTCTGACCCTTTTAAACATTACAATAATTGTTTTTTGTTCTTTATGAAAAAAATTCAACTAGTCATCCTTCTAAATTATTCCTCTTTAATTTTAATGAAACTATGTTGACTAGTGATGGTTTGGTATTGCCACAAAGAATACTTCCTTAGTCACAAACCCAAATAACACTCACGAAACTGTATATCAATTAATCATTTTAAAAATATGTATTTTATAAAAAAAAAATATTTTCAATTTTTTGTTTTTGTGAACTAAACATTGTGTCCAAATCTTGTGCCTATAGACTTGCTCATTGTCACATTGGAATAATTTAAAAAAAGTTCAAATATTTTTTAAGGGACTGCGTTTTAGCAAAAAAGAGTCTTGAAAATTTCAAAATATTTTATAGGATTATATTATTCTTTTTACTATTTTTAAAATATTGTTTACAAAATAATTTTTCGGTTTGAATTTCAAATGATTTATAATTGTATATTTTTAAGATTTCAATATACTTTATAGATTTTTAACAATTTGAAAAACTGATTAAATTTTTATTAAAATGAAAAAAAATCAAAATATTAAGTATTTAAATAATAAAATGATTATTCTCTAAAAACACAAATTAATTTTTACTTCATAAATATTTATCTACATATTTAAAGATATACTGGTTATCCATAAAATAACATCTTTTTGTTGACGCTATTGTGTTTCAACAATATATTCATAACTAAGATTTTTCGTATAAGATTCTTAAGTAGGTGGGAAGACGTTTGTCTTTCCCACAATTTATATTTTTCCAAGTTTTTGAGGTGTTTTAGAGTTTAGGTAAAGATAAGAGGCGAACACATCTGATAGAGCTCCAAGTTCAATATCAAGTTCCAATTTTATTCTGTGATAAAATTAGTGTTGTAATGGTGTCACATATCTCAGATCTTCATGCAAGAACTGTTACGAACTGATCCAATGGTTAGGCATGACATAATCCACTTTTGTTTCCATAACGACCCAATAGCCTAAGTCCTGCCACTTAAGGGCAGAGGGAAGCATTCTCTCCTCTGCACATCTGTTGAGGAAGACTGGCCAGCTGACCCCTTAGATCAGCTGCTCCTCGTCACATTTATGCCCATCACGCATGGTTTAATCACCCAGAAACAACCACGACGCCCGTGCCCGCGACCACACCCTTCCCCGTGGCAACAACTAGTTTTGATCACCTCTGCTTGTTCTAACGGCTAGTTTCTGTCAGATACCTATTCTTTGGGAGCGAATATCTTGCCCCGAAAATAGGGACCAATGGCCAAGCGCTTAAGGCATTATAAAAACCCTCTCATTTGAGAGGGTAAGATATTATAAACCATCCTAAGACATACTCACTTTGTACTTGCCTTCTTTTCTCTCGATTCTTACTTTAACATTGGAGTGCCTTGCAGGTACACCCCCTAAACATTTCTAAAATCCAACATTGCAGACGATGTCTCTTGCCCACTTCAGGTCGTGATCAGCCGGTAAGATCGGTGGCACCGTCTGTGGGAAAATTTATTCTCCTCGTCTTTCTTTCCTTATAAATCCAAGACCAAAGCAGTTCCTTTCAAGATTCCAATCATGGCCAGCCATGACAAGGTCCACGATGCTCGCAACGCCATCTTCCCAGTCAGAAAGACAGACACTGATGAAGCAACCCATTTTCTTGGGCGACGCCCATCAGCAGAGAGATGGAGCCACCACGTCTCCCTCCCACGATCGCGCTGACAACATTGGTGTCCATCCCTTCGAGGACCATTAGCCCGTCCCAGTTTCGCTCAACATTGATCCGGCCATGGCAGCCCTACTCGAGGCCCTCAACAAGACAAACCTTCTGATCCTTCAATAGAACGCAAGAATTAGAGCCTCATAAGAGTCACGCTGACCAAGATCTTCTCCGCCGAGGAGAGAGCGCCGGAGATCTCAGATTATTTCTCCTAGACGAGGACGAGACCGTCGGGCACCAGCAGAGCCAGACTCTCTGACCATAAAAAAGTGCGATCATACCTCTCCGAGGAGTCAACACTCCCCAGGGGCCAAGAGAACCAGAATGGATCTACGGACAGAGCGTCAGCGTTTGCCTCTGCCCAGATCCAAGGGCCAAGCCTGAACTGCGTCTCCCTGCAGAGATAGCGGTTCTCTCCCTGGACGCAGTACCCGCTCTCGTTCGCGGTCTAACAGCAGCAACGACGACGAGCCTCGGAGCCCGTTATCCCAAGAAATAATGGCCATGCGCCTACCCAAAAGGCTGGACAAACCCCCATCCTTGGGCACGTACGATGGCACTACAGATCCTGACGAGCATATCGAGAACATCGATGCCCTAATCGATTACCGTGGTGTCAGAGGCGCTGTCAAATGCAAATCATTCCCAAACACGCTGAGGAAGGGAGCCATGTCATGGTACAAGAGCCTCTCATTCGATTCTATCACATCTTGGAAGCAGTTGGGAAGGATATTCTCCAGGCACTTCACAGCCTCTCGTCGCCACCCAAAGATAGAAGCCTCCCTTGAGGCCATCATTCAAGGTAAAGATGAACCTCTTTGAGCTTATATTGAAAAGTTCAACAAAGAAGCCGTCCAGGTCTCCACGACCGACGATATGAATAAGTACTTGCTCGAACGCAGGCTCCGTCCCCGCAGTGAATTTGTCAAGGTTGTGTATCGAAACCCCCGCAACACTGGATTCAATCCTCCTTAAGGCTCAAGCATACATCCAGTATGAAGAAAGGCAAGCAACCAACACCTCTCGGGTCTTTAGGCACCAGGAGAACGCTAGGTCTTCGAAGCACGACAAAGCCTCGCCACCTCTCAGGGAGTCGAGAAAAGAAGGGATGATCGCCCCCAGAAATCCAGAGATCATAAAGGGTCGTCTGGCCAGTTCCACAATACACTTCACTGACCGTCTCTCAAGAGAAGATTCTCTCTGAGTGCATAAACTCGGAGTTCTGGCAAACAGGGGTCTGTTTCCCAAAACAGATATCGCCCAAGCCGAACACAGATAAGACGAAGTATTGTCGGTTCCACAAGAGTCACGACCACATGACCGATGAATGCATCCATCTAAAGGATGAAATTGAGATCTTGATCAAGGACAAGCACCTGAAATAATTCACCAAGAAAAAGGACGCTCCTCGGCAGGATGCCCAGGAATCAAAGAAGGTCGAAGAGGAGGTGCCTTCCTCGGACGAGACCAGTCTTCAAGTCGCCATGAAAAACCTTCCCCTCCGCCAAGTCGCCATGTGCTCCGCAGCTTTTTTCTCTGCGGCCAGGGTATCCCTATCCTCGGTAACCTTGGCCAGCTCACCCTTATACTTCTTCGTTGCCTCTCCGGTGGCCTTGCCCAATTCCTCTCTGGACTTCTTTGCCGCCTCCTCCGCAACCTTCAGCTTTTCCTCCAGAACCGCGTTCGCGACTGTTGCGGTGAGAATCGGGATATCAAGCTATTGAATTAACTTGAATCTTAATTCTTTTACAACCGGACTTTAATTTATCCAAAGGAAAGGTCTAAAGAAAGAAAAACCCTTTTCGCGATGTAACAACAACGCTAAGAGATTCGGGGATCGGGGGTTGGTTATGCATAGGGTAGGTATTTCACATCCTAAACATCCGTAGTACCCTACGGGAACCTTTTATTTGTTTGCATGCTAGGTTTGGTGGATATTTGCTAAGGTTTGGGTATTGGGTAAAAAAGTGAGGTTTATGATAGATGAAGACCTAAGATTGTTTCTAAGTTTGCTCGCAAAGACATCGCGTCCTCTGCCTACGTATCCTTACTAGGATAGAATCAGAGCAATCGTAGTTCACGTCACTAGGGTTGAAGAACACTTGAATATGATCAAGGTTAAATGGGGAACAAACATTACAATGCTTGTATAGAGTTTTCCAAAACTCTTTATGTCCATGTTGAACTCTCAAAGGGGAATAAGTAATCATCACTATGATTCTTATATAGAGTTAAACAAACTCTAACCTAGGGTTTTAGTTGAGGAGCACTCCTAGTAAAGGTGGGTCTTTTAGACTTAAGCAAAGCCTAATGTCTTATGGGTTCTAATCTTAACTAAGGTTCAAGATGACTTTACAAAGTCAAAAGGGGTAATGAGCTATCCATGACACAAAGGTCAATGGAGAGACTTTTCCTTTGGAAGGGAGGAGGCAACTTGGATGAGAACTAAACAAGTTTCATCACTTGGGGAGGAAAAAAACTTATCAAAGCATAAGCACATTCAAGCATGAGGAATATAGAAGACATGATTATAATCAAGGATGAATAAACACATTACAATGAACAAGTACTTTAAGTAAGATGAATGGTTACAACCAAGCATGGTAAGCATATTACAATAAGCATGTCTTGACAAAGATGTAGGTACATTTTGAAAAAGATTGAAAGCATGGTGAAGTTAACAACCATGTAAACAAATAACAAATTAAAAATAAAAACTATGCATATATAACAATCCCACACAATTAAATTAGTTTAGCCTCGTAATTTAGGAGGTATAAATATTCATAGCAATAACCAACAAAAGATGAAACCTCATCATGCTAACAAACATGAAGAAAGCAAATACCAATAAATCTTACAAGATAAAAGTAGACATGGCATAAGGGAAATTTAACCGAGACATAAGGTGACGACCTAAGAGTGAGTTTACTAACAGGCAAACCAAAAGCATTGTTAAAATAATTAATCATGAGATCTCAATCCACCAAACAAAGCTAGACATCACAATGACGAGTTTGCAAAAAGAATGAGTTAAGAAAGATGGAAGATCAATAAGTTATG